AGTTTTCATTTTTGGTTTAAAGCGGATATTTATCGTTTCAGCGTTCCATAATTTTCTAGAAGGCCTCAGCAAATTAATTCATGGTCATAATGAGTTTCCATTTTTCGAAGTCAAGAAAATGGTTGTAAATAGATCGTTCGGCATTTCCACGAGGGAAAAGGAAAAAACGCGACACCCGTTAACAGAATTCCCGACTATAGGAGTATGAAGATTGCGTCACATTAGCTAAAAGTAGAATTAAAAATTTCCTTCAATTACTGTAAAGAAAACGGATTACGACGTTGATATTTTTACAATTTTAACCGCATAGATATAAGTGCACAGGTGGGTAATATCTCATTCTTTATTAATTTAAGGCTAACTAAATTTCCTTCTGAAACGCCTTCATTAAATCTACTTTATATGACGGGATTATTATTTGAATTTTATCTATTTTACTCAATTTTTCTTCAGTTCATTTCGCGCTATACTTCAGCGACTTTTGATGTCATTAAACTGATTTGAATAACAACAAAGGAAAATCATTTTTAGAAGAAAAATACAGTATTTTCCTTTTGAGCTTGACATTATATAGACGTATTGCAACAAGACTCAGGGTATCTTTTTAAAGTCAAAGCAAAGTTTAGTATTTTGAATTTTCTTTTCTTTTATATTTGTCGTTTTAGTAAAGAATAAATCGAAGCAAGATTTTAAGAGTAGGAAAAGAAAAAAATAATATATCTTTGAAAAATTTCAGACCTGAAAAAGTTCCAAAAATTAGACGGAAAATGTGACACCGAAACCTTTAACCTTTTAAGCCCTGCGTTTCCGAATAATTTTAACCCTTCTACCTGAGTTTCTGAGTCAAAATTGACAAATAATTTTCATGTAATGTTTCACTGTAGATATACAAATAGTTATAAGTCTTTACCCACCGTTCAACTGGTAGCTGGACATTAATTCATTTTTCTCTACCACTGTTCAACTGGTGGCTGGGCATGACGTCATTTTTCTCTACCACTGTTCAACTGGTGGTTGGGCATTAACCCATTTTTCGCTACCACCGGTAAAACGGTGGTCAGGGCTCAAAGGATTAAATGCTATGCACAGTAAACACATCATAGTTTTCCACAATTTCCTTTTTTTATTTAAAAAAAAAAATCTGTCTAAATTGCCATAGGAAACAATGTAGTTGTTACACGTTGCTTTCTCCAGAGTCTTGACTACATGGTTCTACTTCTCCTGGGTTAATTGCCTACCTAAGCTGGAGAGCACAGTCTACCCTGCTATTTAAACAGCATGTGGAAAGAGAAGATATTTGGTTTTATTCCTAGGGCATTTGTTCAAATGTTAACGCAAATGGCTAGGACTGAATTTGAATATGGCTTGCCTATTCTACTGTCCATTTCGATAATCGTCACACGAATTATTCAGACTTTACTAAAACTATTGCCAATATTATTATTATTATTATTATTATTATTATTATTATTATTATTAATCCACGCAAATCAATCAGTTATATCTTTGAAAAATCTTGCTGAGTAAAATTATTCTGGTAGATGTTGCAGCCGACAAAAACACGTCTTTGAAAACATTTGGGAAACTAAATTTACAAAGATCTCGAGGTAGAAACTAGTAGAACGATTTTTTTCAAGACAACACCGCCACCTGTTGTAATTTGTTGTTTTGAAAATTATATAAAAAAAAGTGCCCATTAGCAGAGCCCATTTAAAGAATGTGCGTTGTGGTGTCATGGGTATCGGCTCGGATTGTGAAATCAGAGAGCCGAGTTCGAATTCCAATCGAGTTGGCTATATTCACTTATACGCAAATACCATTAGGAAAGGTATGGATCCATCTATTCTCCCCCAGCTATGGGTTAAATAGCAGGAAAGACTGGAAACTACAGTTTTGACTGAAAGTCAGTCTACTGCGGAAGGAAACAGCAATCTACTGCTGAAAAATCAGTCATGAATAGAAAGAGACAAGCGTCTAGCATGTATGGTTTGGTCGGTTTGTTTAATAGAATATAAATTCCTTGTGGGTCATTTCATGCTAAAGTTTTATTTTCTTGTGAGATTTGATTATTTTTTCCCCAAAAATGTATTGCTGGTATTTTTTTTTTTACTATGAAAATATATGGCTGGTAATTTTTTCTAATGTATTTTAATATTCTCATATTTTGACCCCAGTTTGGTTGGTTACTATTTGTCTATAGCTAGGACCTCAACAGGGTCTACCACTCCAGTTCAAGGTGGACCTGGGAACAACAATAGTTAAGAAGTGTTTCCATGCTCCTCAAACGAGGGAGTTCCATAGGAGGGAAGAGCGAGAAAAGAAAATACAAGTGGCGGTTGAATTTAGCTACACCCTTGAGCAAATTAATTGAAACAAAACGAATAATTCCGTTCTTTTTACATATTTTTCCAAATAAACATGACCCAGTGCACATGTTAGTAGTTCATATGTCTATTCCACAAAGTCGTTCTTTGCAGATTGACTACAGATTCTCGACTGGATTTAAATCAGGAGAATTTCCGGGCCAGTCTTTAGTATTTTGGTTTGCTCACTGGTAAGGCTTGTCAGGGTGTTCGTGCAGCGTTAAACGCTTCCTTGGACTAACATACATCACAGACAATGGTCGCGGGCAACTAATCGACAGTCGAAACAATAGTGTCTGGTTGTGAAAAACATCTGATGTAATCACGGACGACGCAATACTTTTCAAGGCCAAACAAATAAATTCATATATTGCACACCACTGTACATGACCTAATCTAAGGAAAAAATAGAAATTGATTACATCAGTGGGTCTAAAGCTGAACGTATGGTGAAATAAAGAAATTTAAAGCGTTTTTTTTTTGTTAATTTGCACAAGGGTGCAAATGTTTCTGGTCGCCTGAACGTCGCGAGACCGTGAAATCTTAGTAGTGAATGGAACTGGGTCCTGTTGAGAGATGACGATGTGATTTTCTTTCTTTTTGCGCTGTCTTGTTAGCCTAGCGTTGAGAACTCTTCTTTACTGCTTATGTAAATGTTTGCTTTTTGTCCATTTTTCTTTTTGTCCATTTAGCTTTAGTTTGTGTCCTACAGATCAGTGTATCCTATCAGCACATTTGTATCCCACATTATCTATCGTCAGGGAAAAAAGCAAAAATAGAAGGAGAGATGCCATTTATTGTTGTATTATAAAAGTTAAAATAAAAGAAAATTATAAAATAAGAAATTTGATTAAAAAATTCATAAAACGAGGTATTTGAATCCTTTAAATAAAAACATTCTGAATGTCTTTTAACATATCGAGAAAACAATCAGGACATTGCCTTAATAATGTCGGATACTAATCTGGTAGTAGGATCCACACTAAAGTAGAAATTGATCAGGTCACACGTTCAGTTCTAAACACTTACATCCATGTAGTCGGGACACCAGGGAAAAAAAGCTTGCCAGAACAGTTGCCATGGAAATATTTGTAGAAAAGACATAAGGATGACACATCACGTCAGTGAGAAAGTGACTGAAGTTGAGATGCCAGGTCAGGATCGATTACATTGCAGATCCTACTTTGAATTTTATCAAGGACCACGAGATGAACAGCAGGGGCAATTAGACAAGATATGGCAGCAGTATCCAATGCACGGTTGAATGGTAGAGTTGTAAATGTGCAAGATGGATTCTGAAGAGAAAATCACAATGGACCGACTTTCCTTGCAGTATATGCATCTATTGATTCGATGTAGTCGCTTCACATCAAATCTGTTCCTTCAAAGACATTCTATTTTTCTCAATATATCTCTTCCTCTTCCCCTAGGCACTTCGACGTAGTGTAATGTTTAGTAAACATGTCTCCCTAAAACACTTACGACAGAGTAGGGAGTTCGATCCTCACTGGGTGCCCCATACTTCTCGCCTTGTGCCATATCTAAGCTACGCTTAGAAAATCATTTGGGCACCTCGGCGTGGTGCAATAGTTAGCAAGCTTGTCTTGCTAGAACAATTACGATTAAGTAGTGAGTTCGATCCTCACTGGGTGCCCCATACTTCCGGCCTTGTGCCACATCTAAGCTACGCTTAGAAAATCATTTGGGCACCTCGGCGTGGTGCAAGCTTGTTTAGCTAGAAAAATTACGATTAAGTAGTGAGTTCCATACTCACTGGGTGCCCCATACTTCCGGCCTTGTGCCACGTCTATGCTACGCTTAGAAAATCATTTGGGCAATGGTTAGCAAGCTTGTCTAGCTAGAACAATTAGGATAGAGTAGTGAATTCGATCCTCACTGGGTGCCCCATGATTTCGGCCTTGTACCCCGTCTAAGCTACGCTTAGAAAATCAATCTTCGTCTTTTTCTTATAAAATTGACTGACCTAGTCCCTTAAAACTTAAAGCGAAATCCCACCTAACTTTTCTTCTGTCTTCCCTTCTTCACTTTATCCTTTCAACCGATAACCTTCCCACCAAGCAACTCTAATGAATAATTATATTACTACTAATAAGGCTATTACTGCTGTTGGTGCATCAGAATTTCTTGCCGCTTCTTGGAGAAGTTTATTTATTGATTGGCTCAACGGAGAAATCGGAAAAGATTTGAAAAATAATCAGATGAAATTATTTTATAAGTGTTTTTTGCCTTCAGGCAATTCGAAAGTCCGGTGATTTGGCTTCGCACTCGAACCAACGAAGTCGAATATTAGGTTTATGAATTTAGATCCCTGGGGGGAAAATCTGGGTTTTTCAGTAGGACAATCAAATAAGGACACGCATATACATAGGCATGCAGACAGACGTACACACATACAATCAAATGTCAGATATAAACACATTTTTGGATAGCAATGAACATTTCATAAGGTTTTATATGAAGCAGTCACTTGAATTCTCATTCAGACTACCTATACTTAGCAGTATATTTAATAGTAGATAGATAGATAGACAGACAGATAGATAGATAGATAGATAGATAGATATGAACAGACAGAGATAGGCAGATAGATACATAGATGAGGAGCTAGGTAGGTAGATCTATCTATCTATCTATCTATCTATCTATCTATCTATCTATCTATCGATAGGAAAGTAGGTAGATATATAGGTAGGTAAGTAGATAGATATACAGATAGTTAGGCAGACAGATAGATAAATAGATAGATTGATAAATGTGAACAGTGAAATAGATAGATGATTAGGTAGGTAGGCGTATAGATCTATCTATGTAGCTATCTATCTATCTATACATGTATATATATATATATATATATATATATATATATATATATATATATATATATATAGAGAGAGAGAGAGAGAGAGAGAGAGAGAGATAGCTATCTCGCTAGATAGATAGTCGGGGAGACAGACAGATAAATTGACAGATCTAAATATAGATAGATAAACCCCAACAGGGTGAAATTGATAGACAGATAGATTCCGATAGAGGGAGATCAATAAATAGCTCTCAACAGAGTGAAGTCGATTGATATATCTCAACGATTAGCAGATAGATCGATAGATCTAATCAGACTCAGATCGATCTCGACGGAGATGGATAGATATGAAATAACTAAGATTATATCAATAAATCGTATAAAGTATTATAATTGTAATTTCTGTTTCATACAAGATATGAACAGACTGAGATAAATACATGTGATATAGAGATATGAGCAGATTGAGGCAGATTTGAACAGACTGAGATAGATCGATATGAAATGTTTAAGATAAGCTCAATCAATAGATAGACAGACGGATAGATCGATATGGACACATGAAATACATAGGTAGAGAGTAGGTAGGTAAATCTGAGTTGACCAATATACAGATATATTAAATAGGTAACTTAATCAATCAATCGACATAGAGATCGATATAACACATTGAGATAGATACCAACAGAGTGACATAGACCGATAGATAAAGAGATGACCCTTCTACATAATTTGCCACCCTTTCAGATCTTTTTGCCTTCATGGATAAGTACCCCATTGCTCTATCCCTACGTTGGTCCCATTTTGCATCAACGACCTTCCTGGTGTCATCCATGCTGATGAGACATTTATTTACTCCTATTTTAACAACAGTAAATTCAATCAATTCGACGGGTTCAAATTGGAAGTGGATTTAAAAAAATATCTTACAGTATGTTGTAACTGGCGTAAGAAATGGCATATTAATTTTAATGCTTCAAAACTGCGCCCTATTAATCATCTGAAATTTAATTGCCTTCCATCAGATGCTAACCTCCAAGAAAATGGCTCATTGTGCCTTCTTGGGATAACGTTTTCCGTTGACATGAGATTTACTGATCAAAATAAATCATGATTTATTACCGTATTTTCGTGATGTGTTACGCTTTTCCTTGATATACATACATACATACACACACACACACACACACACACACACACACATATATATATATATATATATATATATATATATATATATATATAAAATTTCTCCGATTTAACCAGTAGAGAAGACAATATTTATGAATAAAAAATGACACCAAAGAAAACTGGTAATTGCTGACGCGTTTCGTCCAATGTGGACTTAATCAAAGCAAAATAATTAATTTCATTTTCGTATTTTGCTTTGATAAAGTCCACATTGGATGAAACGTGTCAGCAATTACCAGTTTTCCTATTGTCATTTTTTATTCATATATATATATATATATATATATATATATATATATATATATATATATATATATATATTATAAATTAATTGATTTAAAATATGTTTTTTTTATTTTATATCTTACTGTACTTTCTTTTTTTTTATATACATACATATATATATATATATATATATATATATATATATATATATATATATATATATATATATATATATACACGTATGTCAAAAGCACACGAAAATGGAAATAGATCTAAGAACACACAGGGGTCATTAAAAGTTAAGCATACTGATAGCTACTCCATCATTTCTCGAACTAATCTTAATTGTTTTATAGCCCTTCAAGTAGAACATTTCCCTGACATTTCAAGAAAGACGTTGGGATCACTAATACAAAAGGAAAATGTCTCATATCGAGAATATTTAACATCGAAAACATAAAGAAAAAAATGAATTATTTCTAATAATATGTGGAAATCTCTACCCTTTGCCTGATGACGGTCGCAAGACCGGAAACACGTGTAGCAAAATTATGGAAAATAAAACATAATATTTTTAAAAAAATTCACATAACAACCAAAAACGTTTGCGGCTTCTCTCTTCTTTTTAATATACACACTTTTCTCTCGTTGGAACTACTATAACATCCTCCTTTTATATATATATATATATATATATATACACACACACACACACACATACACACACACACACACACATATATATATATATATATATATATATATGATGCATGTTTCATTAAATAATATAGACAAGTTTTGTCTATATTTATGTAAATTCTTTTCATATCGTGTGTTAAGCTTAATAGCATTATCATTAAAAGAAGAAAGAAAATCTCAATATTGATACATATTTTTTTAAATCATATCCAAGCTTTCGGCTTACATAAGCCATTATAAAAGATGATAATTACATTACAATATATTAAACAATACACGGACAAAACTATAATGATAGTCTGTTTTTGTTTACATGGAAGATTTCCAAGCAACGGCAAACTCATGCATACGAGACGCTGGAAGCGAAAATCGCACCGCAGCTCATGACGTCACATATGACCACGCGAGAGTGAAAACAAGAAGTATTAAGTATGGGAAGTCGTTGGTACAAACCAATGGTTTCTGTTATCAATTATAGGCATTTAAGAATATTTGTAGAGATTTCATAGTTTATTTTGTTTAGGTTAGGTTTCACATGTTTTATGTATATAGCTTCAAGAATTTTTAGGTTTTGTTTATTGTTTTCATGTTTAAGTATAGTTGTGTTTTCAACAAGGATTTTCCGGAATTGTGTATGCGGCCAGGCATGTTGTTTTAAATGCCTAAAAATGTTAGAGTTATAACTATACAAGCAGGGTTGGTTAAATAATGTAGACGTATTATGTTTATTTATTTTAGTTTTAAATCCTTTGAAGTACACGAATTAGATCAAGAAAAATACCAAAATTTTCTTTCGAATAATTTTTATTTTCCCAAGTACTTTCAACGGGTTAAAATATCTGCGGATGTGTATAGATTAGTTCCGTAAATTCAAAATAATTTTTCACTGTTCATTACAGATTATTATTTTCAATTACACAAGCGAGGTAACTATTGTATTTAAAAAAAAAAACCCGAAAAAGATTTTTAATTATGATATTTTAATTTATTATTTTCTACAAAAGCTTTTCTGCTATCAACATTTAAGAACTTCCTGTCTACACTCATAGTTGACACAATTCTCTTATATAAAGGGCTTCCAGGATTTAAAGTTTTTTATTATTGTTATTGTATATATATATATATATATATATATATATATATATATATATATATATATATATATATATATATATATAGTTGGATGATGTGAGTTTGTGACCCTGGGTTTCACGCATTTTCAATCTGACGATCACAAAAGCGTGAAACCCAGGGTCACAAACTCATCAATCCAACGAAATATGTTAGCTCTATCTCTGATATTGAGCGCTTTCTAATAAGTGACGCGCATATAATATATATATATATATATATATATATATATATATATATATATATATATATATATATATATATGTTATGGTCCGGATCCTTGTACCACGGTGATAGTCCAAGGTAGAACCAATGAAGTAGAACTTGAACACAGGTATGGAATAACACAGATATATTACAAACAGGAATATATACAGAGAAGTAGAAGTGTTAGTATAAACAATCAGGTTTAGTAGAGAGAACAATGTAGTCTCACCCACTATCACTATTCCAATGTCTTGCAGTAATTTTCTGAACGCTTCTCTGTTTCAGACTGCCTCTGACTCGACTCTTGACTCGACTTGAACTACTGACTGCACTTGAACTACTCCTGAGGCGCAGTATTTATTAAGTATGGAATAGTCCATGATTATTATTATGGGTAAGATCCCATAACAATATAACACACACACACACACACACACACACACACATGTATATATATATATATATATATATATATATATATATATATATATATATATTTATATATTTTCGATAAATTATTAATTTGACTTCTTATCAACTACTTTCCTCCTCGCGTCACTGGATTGTTATATTGATAGTTTATATATTTCTGGCAAAATTTTTTGAAATTTTCACTTTCATAAGCACAGAAACGAATCAGTAAATCTCATTATCATTGCAGTTTCCCAAAAGAAAGTAAATCCACAGAGACTATCCTTGCATAGTCATGAATGCCAAATTTTCGAAGGCATTTTGATGACAGGACACTTTTTTTAATTCTTTTTTTCTTTGGTGGAATCTGCTATTTACCTCAATGATTGATTTCTACGCGAAGACATTTCCCATGAAAGCAATTTGAATTTTTACTCATCTTCTAAAAGTTTTATCAGTTGATTGCATTTTTTTTTAAAATGGCGTTCCTTATGCATAATATGCCTTCCCTCTGTCTTTATACAAATATTTTCATGGCAACTGTCCTGACGAGCTTTTTTTCTTGATGCCCCGAATGCATTAATTTAAATATGCTACTAGATTGGCATTTAGGTCCCACCCTTTTACCGTTGAAATAGTTAAATGTAACTGCCACTTCTACTCCAACAGTTTCTTTTCTTGCACTTCCCGACCGTTAAACTCTCTTCTATTTACTTGCTTCCCTGATAAATACAATCATCAAAAAATTAAATGCGACTTCAATCGCCATCTTCTATCTTCGTAAACCCAATCCATCTCTCCTCATTCCCCCCCATTCCCTGTGTTTTCTCCCACTTTCACTCTCAGTGTACCCCCTTACTTACTAGTGGCATTCTCGCCTTGCTTGGGGTGAAATGATTTAAAAAGAAAAAGCTTAGAGTCACATCACGTACAAAATACCTGTTCCCGTACGATCGCCGAAGTTAAGCAATGTCAAACTTGACCAGTACTAAGGTGGGTTACCGCCTGCAATGCCATATGCTATAAGCTTGGATGCGCAAGTGGCTTAATGAACAATGATTCGAAATTAGATATCGGAGAGCCGAATTCAACTTCCATTTGGGTTCATTATATTCACATACGTGCATATACCCATGGGAAAGGTATGAATCCACCTCTTCTCCCCAGCCATGGGTTAATTAGTAAGACATATCAGAAAATAATTATTGTCTCCCCCTCCAGAAATTCTTATAATCTAAAAATTTTTTCTGGTTTTAAATAGCCTGCAAATATTGATAAGCCGTAGAAAATCAGTCAATCAATCAGGAAAACCTTGGGAAAGGCATGAATCCACATCTTCTCTATATTTTAGTTAGTAAGCCTTGTATTACGAAACCATTATTATCTCTCCAAAAGTTCGTATAATCTAAAAATATTTTTTGCTTTAAATAACCTAGAAAGGGTTGATAATCCGTAGAAAACAAATCTATCAATAACAAACAAACAAACCTTGCTTAAGGTATCAATTCACCTCGTCCTCCAGCTATGGGTTAATTACTTAAATTTCTGTCACTAAAAGAGTATTATCTCCTCAAAATTTTCTCTCTGGCTTTAAATAACCGACAAAGGGTCGATAAACCGTAGAAAATGAATCTATCAATCAAAAAAAAAAAAAAAAACAAAAAAAACGAAAGGTATCAATTCACCTCGTTTATTGGTTAATTAGTTAAATTTCTATCTGTAAAACGTTATTATCTCCCCCCCCCAAAGTTCTTATAATCTAAAAATATTTTCTGGCTTTAAATAACCTGCAAAGGGTAGATAAGCCATAAAAACGAATCCATAAAATCAAAGCATTTCCATAAATCTTTTCCTATTTCTATTATAGTTCAGAATCTAGGAAAGATGCATTTGTTTTTACAAACTACTGAATTTCTATGAGCTTTATTTATAAACGTTAACTGTTAAACAGAGGATACTATCAATTGATGTTTCATTGACAAACAGCGGATCCCATCAAAAGTGATGATCCAATGTTTTCCCAAAGAAACAGACATTATTCATTCATGTCTGGAGTCTGACTAATTGACGGCTCTTGGATTCACGAGGATACCATTTACTATAATTCCTGTGGTTACAATATTTCATGGACTATTTGCCTGCAAATAAACTTGGAAGAACACTCGAAAGACAGTGCTGGGTTTGCAGGCAGATGTCCTGAAGTGAAAAAAAAAAGGCGAAAAAATGGTAAATATTACAATTTCTTCTTTTTTCTTTTTCTTCTTCAAATGAATATTACAATTCTACTTCTTCTTCTTCTTCTTCTTCTTCTTCTTCTTCTTCTTCTTCAAAGGAATATTACGATTCTTCTTTTTCTTCTTTTTCCTCTTTTTGTTCTTTAAATGAATATTACAATTCTTCTTTTTCATCAAATGAATATTACAATTCTTTTTCTTTTTCTTCTTCAAATGAATATTACAATTCTTCTTCTTCTTTTTCAAATCAATATTACAATTCTTTTTCTTTTTCTTCTTCTTTTCCCTCTTCTTCTTTAAATGAATATTACAGTTCTTTTTCTTCGAATGAATATTACAATTCTTCTTTTCTTCAAATGAATATTACAATTCTTTTCTTTTTCTTCTTCAAATGAATATTGCAATTCTTCTTCTTTTTTTCAAATCAATATTACAATTCTTTTTCTTTTTCTTCTTCTTTTCCTCTTCTTCTTTAAATGAATATTACAGTTCTTTTCTTCGAATGAATATTACAATTCTTCTTTTTCTTCAAATGAATATTACAATTCTTTTCTTTTTTCTTCTTCAAATGAATATTACAATTCTTCTTCTTCTTTTTTCAAATCAATATTACAATTCTTTTTCTTTTTCTTCTTTTTTTTCCTTCTTCTTCTTTAAATGAATATTACAGTTCTTTTTCTTCGAATGAATATTACAATTCTTCTTTTTCTTCAAATGAATATTACAATTCTTTTTCTTTTTCTTCTTCAAATGAATATTACAATTCTTCTTCTTCTTTTTCAAATCAATATTATAATTCTTTTTCTTTTTCTTCTTCTTTTCCCTCTTCTTCTTTAAATGAATATTACAGTTCTTTTTCTTCGAATGAATATTACAATTCTTCTTTTTCTTCAAATGAATATTACAATTCTTTTTCTTTTTCTTCTTCAAATGAATATTGCAATTCTTCTTCTTTTTCAAATCAATATTACAATTCTTTTTCTTTTTCTTCTTCTTTTCCCTCTTCTTCTTTAAATGAATATTACAGTTCTTTTTCTTCGAATGAATATTACAATTCTTCTTTTTCTTCAAATGAATATTACAATTCTTTTTCTTTTTCTTCTTCAAATGAATATTGCAATTCTTCTTTTTCAAATCAATATTACAATTCTTTTTCTTTTTCTTCTTCTTTTCCCTCTTCTTCTTTAAATGAATATTACAGTTCTTTTTCTTCGAATGAATATTACAATTCTTCTTTTTCTTCACATGAATATTACAATTCTTTTTCTTTTTCTTCTTCAAATGAATATTGCAATTCTTCTTCTTTTTCAAATCAATATTACAATTCTTTTTCTTTTTCTTCTTCTTTTCCCTCTTCTTCTTTAAATGAATATTACAGTTCTTTTTCTTCGAATGAATATTACAGTTCTTTTTCTTTTTCTTCAAATGAATATTACAATTCTTTTTCTTTTTCTTCTTCAAATGAATATTACAATTCTTCTTCTTCTTTTTCAAATCAATATTACAATTCTTTTTCTTTTTCTTCTTCTTTTCCCTCTTCTTCTTTAAATGAATATTACAGTTCTTTTTCTTCGAATGAATATTACAATTCTTCTTTTTCTTTTTCTTCTTCTTTTTCTTTTTCTTCAATGAAGATTACAATTTTTCCTCTTCTTCTTTAAATGAATATTACAATTCTTCTTCTTCTTCTTCTTCAAATGAATATTACAATTCTTCTTCTTCTTCTTCAAATGAATATTACAATTTTTCTTCTTCAAATGAATATTGCAATTCTTCTTCTTTTTCAAATCAATATTACAATTCTTTTTCTTTTTCTTCTTCTTTTCCCTCTTCTTCTTTAAATGAATATTACAGTTCTTTTCTTCGAATGAATATTACAATTCTTCTTTTTTCTTTTCTTCTTCTTTTCTTTTCTTCAATGAAGATTACAATTTTTCCTCTTCTTCTTTAAATGAATATTACAATTCTTCTTCTTCTTCTTCTTCAAATGAATATTACAATTCTTCTTCTTCTTCTTCAAATGAATATTACAATTTTTCTTCTTCAAATGAATATTACAATTCTTTTTCTTTTTCTTCAATGAATATTACAATTCTTTTTCTTTTTCTTCTTCTTTTCCCTCTTCTTCTTTAAATGAATATTACAGTTCTTTTTCTTCGAATGAATATTACAATTCTTCTTTTTCTTTTTCTTCTTCTTTTTCTTTTTCTTCAATGAAGATTACAATTTTTCCTCTTCTTCTTCAAATGAATATTACAATTCTTCTTCTTCTTCTTCTTCTTCTTCTTTTTCTTCTTCTTCTTCTTCTTCTTCTTCTTCTCTATTCCATCTTTCTTCATTCCTCTCCAACTTCCTATTCAATGTAGCGGCCACTCTCTGTTCTGCCACCCATTTATAAAATCTTATTAGCTTACTAGTTTATTAGCTTGATTAGGTTACTAGGTGTTTTCTTCTGCCCACTTGCTCTCAGTACATCCTGTCTGTGTCTAATTCTTTAAGCCTTCTTTACTGCCATAAAGGTTTGAACTGCTTCTTTCTGATTTCAAGTCTAAGCATCAATTCTATTTCTATTTTCCTTTAAACTTCTTCGTTACTCAAATGTTCAAAATCGCGCTATTTGCAACACCATGCGCTGTAGAATCACATTTAATTTGGTACAATTCACTTCTTCAATTTTTCTGCATACAATGCACGCTCGATACTCTACCCGCATCAGTCGCCAACAAGGGGATGTAACACCGTTCCATTGGCTAAGGCGGTACCTCTGACCCTGGAGCCACCAGCAGCTTTTACCGCCGGGCAGGTTATTGTTTTTCGTTGTCCGTCTCTGCGGTTTTTATACCAAATACCTGTCAGATTTTCCAACGTTGTGTTCGATAAAAGCATTTGATTTTGATCGTTAAACAAAACACAACGCGCTCGGAGTGACCGTATATAAGGAAATTGCCCAATGTAGGAGGATTGATATTAAACAAAAAAAAAAAAAAAAATTGATATCCAAAGATGGATCTGTAATGTAATTGACCTGCCATCTCGACTTCAGTCACTTTCTCACCGACGGTGTTTTTTTTTTCCCACTCTCCGTTCTACAAATATTTTCATGGCAATTGCTCCGACGAGCTTTTATTCCTGGTAGGCTGAATATATGTTCTACTAGATTGGTATATAATGCCCATCCCTTTATTGTTGAAATAGTTAAATGCAACTGACACTTCTGCTTCAACTGTTTCTTTTCGCACACTTCCCGCGTATTGAATTATCTTCCGTTTACTTGCTTACCTGATAACTACAATCTTCATAAATGTAAATGCATCGCCAATCGCCATCTTCTATCTTGTTGAAACCCGTTCATCTTTTGTCCTTTTCGCAGTCCTCACTATAATCAGTCTTTTCTCTCACTTTCATTTCCTATAACCTGCTTTGTACTTGTGACATTCCCGCCTTGCTCAGGGTGAATTGATTAAAACAAACAACAAAAAAAAAATCTGGATAAAGAAACAAATACAGTGTCGTGTTTGTATGCAAAATTTCTCGAATAGAAAACAGGCGACATTGGTAGCGACTTCATGCAAGGAAAGTACGACTCCATTGAGCATGGAATCATATTATTAAAAATGATTAAATTTACTAATTCTTACATTAATTTTATTTTTCTCTTTTCTTTAAATGATCTGGGGAGGGGAATATTTTTTTTAATCAAAGTCTTAAAAACAGACAATTAAAAAGTAAAGGTTACCGCACAAATACATATATGCCTCCCACAAAAGATCCCTCACATGATGGTAAAAACATTAGCTAGATGAAGACAACAGTGTCACTAACAACTTACCATTATGTTGGAAGTATTTTTGGGAGGTATATGTGGGATATATTTTCGCCGCAGCCTGTATATATAAATATATACAAAAATACAAAACAAAGGGAGTAGTAAGAGCAAGAGTATTAAAAATATATACACAATGTGGATCGAAAAAGTATAGCAATAAAAATAACAAAAACGAACTATTCAGTTCTTGCTTCTCGCTCTTCAGAACCAATCGAGGACAAAAATATGTGTACAGGGAAATAAAAATTGGGAAAATATGTTAATATTAAAAAAATAAATATATTAAGTTAGTATTAAAAAATAAATTAGTATTAAAAATAAATATATTAATTAAATATATTAATTTAATATTAAAACATATTTAAATATTAATATTAAAAATATAAATATATCAATAAATATTAATATCAATAAATAATATTAATAAATATTATATCAAATAATATTATTAAGTAATAATAATATTAGTTAATAATAATATTAATGAATAAGTATTGTATCAAATAATATTAATAAATATTAATAATAATAAATATTAATATTAATAAATATTAAATATATAAACATTAAATTAAAAAATAAATATATTAATTAAATATATTAAATTTATATTTAAGAAATACGACCAGGGAACAGGTAGTATAAATCACAGATTAGATTGAGACACAACAACTATTACCTTTACTTAGAGAGGTGGCTGCTCAGACTTAATATAATATTTTACTTTTACTTTTTTATCATAAGAGGTTTAAAAATGAGTTTATTATAAAAATAATTAAAATAACATTTTTTTCATAGTTTTTTATATCATTATATAAGTATAAGTGGTACATTTTAAAAATGATTTTCGCTATTTTCGTGTGCTTTCATAAAATCATTTCTCGCCGTTGCAGAGTTAATTATTCATTTTTCTTACATTGTATTTATTTTCTCATTTATTTTCGCATTTTAAATTGATTCAGAAGAAACATTTACCTGTGTTATATTTGGGGTTTAATTTGGAGAAATTGTTATTGAAGAAATATTTTTCATAATAAAAAACTTAAAATTATTTTTTTAGATAAATTCTTTCATCGAGACATACATTATTGTCGTCATAGAAAAGTGACTGCAGATTCTTAACAATAAAAAAGCGTGATGCAAATTGCGACAAAAATGATATAAAAATATAATTTAAAAACTAAATCTCTTATCACGTCCAGATAATTAGCGTTGAAATCAATTTAAAATTATGAAAAACGAAAATTATTTGTTGTTCATTAAATTTAATCACGACTGAATCACTCTCTTCTATAAGTAATGTCATTGCTTCAGGATATTATTTGCCCGCAGCAAATTATATCTATCTATCTATCTATCTATCTATCTATCTATCTATCTATCTATCTATCTACTTTCATTTTGTTCTTATCTATCTATCTATCTATCTATCTATCTATCTATCTATCTCACTTCACTCTGTTCTTATTATCTATCTATCTATCTATCTATCTATCTATCTATCTATCTATCTATCTATCTCTATCTCAGTTTGTTCTTATCTATCTGTCCATCTCCTTTTGCCAGATATATTTACCAAAATTACACAAAAATATCTTGAAATGCTAAAGAGTAAATGTATTCAATAAAATCACCAATGGTTTCAACCACGGCCTCCAGACAACTTCTAGACGCTTTTCTTGTTTAAGTTGGTGAATGCTGCCATAATCCTTAACTTCAAATTATCTTTGATGCCATAAGGAATTTTTTTGGTCTCTCGCTCAACTGTGCACCACACATAATAATCAAGGGTTTTCCAGCCCAGGGAGTTAGGTTGCCAGATGTGAGCGATGATACGGTGGCAGAAATTGAATGACCGCCATAACTTGGTTCTCCTGACTGTGTAGAATGGTGCAGTCCTGTTGCTAGGCTGTTTTCCAGCAGCCACCCTTTTGACCCAGGGCAGCACTGCTTTCTCAAGGTACTTGATGTAGGCCTTCGTGTAGAGTCTGATGTGGTGTGGGAAGATAAATAGAAGCATAACGTCGCCATCACTAGTGATCATTCCAAACACCTTCGTAATCACCATTAGACTCATCCAACTCTTTCCGAATCCCCTGCACTGTTCTCATATTGACATCCAGACACTATGAAATGTTCGCATTGGAGCTTCAGGCGCGAATACTAAGCAGTACAACATGCCATTTTCCAAATTTCTGGTGGAGTGAATTGTGTCATGGTATTTTGTTTCTTACAGACGATGCCCAGCTGACTCTACAATACTGTGCAGTCAGCAAAATCAAAAACAAACAACGCGCATGCGCGAAATTAAAAATATAAAATGGTAACAATTTACTCATCGTACTATCTATCTATCTATCTATCTATCTATCTATCTATCTATCTATCTATCTCAGTCTGTTCCTTCCTTCCTTCCTTCCTTTCTATCTATCTGTTTCAGTTTGTTTTTAGTTTACTGTCTATTTTCAGAGGAGGTGATAAGAATATTTAATTCTCCAAGTTCTAAAACATACTCGGATTAGGGGGCCATATCTGCGAGGATAAAGATACTGCTTGTAAAGTTTTGTGGCTCATGGCATAGTATTTTAGGTTCATACCCTGTTTACAATCTGAGCAGAAATAAAGCCTTCAGTAACTGACCAGTACTGTCAAATGCCCTAATGCTTAACATCTGAAAGAGGCAGTTGAAATATCAAAGCCTGTACCGAGGAAAGAAGGATTGGAGAATTTGGCACTCACCGGGTATATTAAAGGCAAGTGGAGCAGAGAAAAAAAAACGCGTACAACCTACTTAACTAACTTGTGTAAACACACGAGAGAACAGAGTTTAGGAGAGATAGCAAAAAGACAATATTTATTAAGAACTAAATGGTGATCCAATAATTTGGACCGATTTTAAATGTGAATTAAATTTAAGCGTCTAATGATTTTCTTTCAGATTTGGTGGACATTTGATCGATATTATTTTTCGCACATAATTGCCATGATTTAAATAATATGATCCAATATAGAAATGAATAAATTTTCACCAATAACACTGATTTATTTACTGCTGACTTTGATCCGTCTTAATAAAACTCCCTTATATATAATCTATCTTAATAAGGACATGAAGTTGTGGAGAGTCATGATCGCCAATGTTCTGAAGGAGAACAAGACTGAAAAGGTACACCAGATATTCTTTGCGGAAGGTTAACTGTCGAACACCATAGATTAAATAAAAGATTAATTTTTAAATACTGTGAAAGGCAACTCTATCAAGAGACACTAGAAAAAGCACTCAGCAATTTTTGATTCTAGCAAGATG